CGCCGCGAACGCCAACCCCAAGGCCCCGCCTGCCCGGCCCAGGCTCTGCCGACCACCTCAGGCCCACGGTCCCCCTCCAGAAATGTCACAGGACCAAAGAGAGTCACAAGCGTGCTACACAATGTCCCGTTTCCGTGGCCGGAGGGGAAGGTGCGAGCCGGTAAACAGCCTCAACATAATGAAGTCCGTGGATGCAGCCACGAGAAACAATTTCCTATGCAGACGAGGCCCGGTTTCCTGCGAAATTACTTATGCAGGCGTTCCGCAATTATCCTGTGATACTTTCAGGCAACAGTCTGACAGCGTTGTGCAAACAATAAAGGAATTACGGAAATAAAAACAAATAATGCTACACACGCAGAAAGTCCACGCGGCACAGGGATGGGCGGCAGGCACCCGGCCGGGCCCCCAGGGAGAGAGGCCACGGGCTGGCCGGCCCCGCCCCACCCCGAGCACCGGACCGCAGCTCCCGTCAGCTGGCCACCTGCTGCCTGTCACGGCGCAGAGGACAGGGGCCCCCTTCGCAGGAAGGAGCGGCGTCCTGGGACCAGGGAGGGCCAGGCGACGGGGGGCCTAGGAGGCTGGCCCCTTCCCCCCTCAGCCCAGGCGGCCGTCGGCCTGCGAGGGGGCCGGGCCTGCCTCAAGCAGCCCGTGACCGGCACGGGGAGGCTGGGTCTGTCACCCCGACCTGGAGTCCAGGACACGGACCCCGCCATCGCCCCGTCCCAGATTAGATGTGGGCGGGGCCTGCAGCTCACGTGTTGGGGAGACTCAGGATGACGGGGAGCAGAGACCGGCCGCGGGGCCCCCTGGCCACCTCCCCCAGGGGTCACGGGGGGACCGCCACCTGCCCGCCCGTGAGGACCCCGGGGCAGATCCGGCGGGAAGTGGTGAAGGAACCCTGTGTCCCGCAGTCGGGGGCTTGTCTCCCGGCAGCCGGGCCCAGGCCCTGGCCTCCCCGGCGCGGGGGGCGCAGGGCGCAGACGCAGGCCAGCGACCGGCCACTGCGCATCCCCGCCGCGCCGCCGTCCTTCCGGGGCCCGGCCTGTGCCCTGCGCCGCGTGCAGAGTCACACGGGAGAGGTTGCAGCTCTGTCCAGTCCACGGACACACAGCGTTGGCAGAAAGTACGTTTAAAACTTAAATTAGTTGTCAATCTTGGGGATGGGGGAAAAAGAAACAGATTTTTTTTTTTTTACTACTCTTTTTTAAAAATCTACGACTACTTGGGAAAATTCCACCCCCGCCCCACGTGGCTGCCATGGGCGAGCTGTCCCCGCTGCCCTGCACACTTGCTGCCTGCAGGCCGAGTGGGTGTTCCGGACACTGCCCGGGAGGGGCGCAGACTGCCGGGGACCCACAGCACGGGCCGGCCAGAGCCTCTTTGGCGGCCCTATCCCCGCGGCAGGCTGGGGCCGGGGCCGAGGGCTCCCCGGGCCGGGCCGGCTTCAGCACCGGTCACTCTGTGCTAAGCCTGCCGGGTTTGTGGCCTGCGCGGACCCGCTGGAGCGCGTAAGGGGAAGGTGTCGGAACTCACAGCCAGGGCCCCGGCCTCCCTGTGTCCTGGGCGTGGCCCGGCCTCGGGCTCTGCCATCCCTACCTTCCAGCGAGTGTGGAGGGCGATGCGGACTTGGGGCGGAGTGGGTTTGCTTCGACCGCGGCGCTGCCCGTCACAATGACCACAAATAGCAGAGGGACTGTGTCGCAGTCCCTGACCCCCGGCTTTTGGCCAGTCGCCAGCACCCCCAGGCCAGGGCACGCCCCCCGCCAGGGGCCCATTCCAGCCGCTCACAGGATTCTGGCCTCTGGCGGCACCCTCACGCCTCGCAAGGTGGGTGCTCAGGACACACCGCCTGGAGAGAAGCGCATGATCAGAGGACAGCTCCTCACCGCGGTCCTCAAGGCCGCGGCCACCCCGGGCCCCTGGCTGCCCTGCCCCCGCGCACAGAGCTCCGGCACCCTGGCGGGCAGTGCGGGCCCCCCGCACAGGGCCCCTCGCGCTTGCTGCCCCTTTGGCCCTCTGCTGGCTGCCTCCTCCACGCCCCCAGACCCGTGCCTGCCCACGTGCCTTCCTGGGGGGCCACCCCGGCCACACACCCCTCTCCAGCACACACACGTCCTTCCCTGCACCCCCCGCCACCGCCCGCACCACCTTATCTATGGTTGTCTGTTTCCTGCGTCCGCGGTGGAAGCTCCATGAGGGCAGGGACCTGTCTGTCCCAAGCTGCTCCCTGGCCAGGGGCCCGGGCTCCAAACTCAGGACAAATCGTCCCTGAGCCGTGGCCTGACCATCCCCCAGCTGCGTGACCTGAGGGGCCACGAAGCTGCTCCGAGCACAGTCCCCTCCCCTGGAAGACAGAGCTGAAGGCAGCTTCCACTTGCTGGGAGCCAGGACGGGGCCCCGCGGTCGCCCCCAGGGCCCGGGGCCTGCCTGGCCCCTCCCCTGCTGCCTCCAGCTCACACGGCTCTGAGGCCACGTGCCCCTCGGGCACAGTGAGGGGCCCGGCCGTGACTCCCGCCACCGCGTCAGCGCTTCCGGGGACCTGGCGGGGGTCCAGGCGCCGCAGAGCCCCACACGAACACCAGGGCTTGTCGCCGCCTCGCACGGAAATCCCGACCGCGCCCTCCTCCGCGGTGCTCCCCGGACTCCCCTGGCGGAGATTAACTACGGTGCTCACGCAGCGTCTGCCCGGACCGGCGGGAGCCACAGCAGGATGGGCGCCCGGGGTCCAGATCCCCCCGCAGCCCAGAGACGGCAGGAGCTGCTCGGTGTCCATCAGGCGGGGAAGGGAAGGCCGGCTGGGCCCTGGGACCCGCCCCCCGGGGCCCCTGGGCATCGGGACCCAGCACGGGGTCCTCCCCAAGGACAAGGCTGAGGAGGGCGGACAGCCACGCCCAGCGGCCGTACTCTGGCCCTGGGGTCCTCTGGGGCCCACGCTGTGGCGGGGTGTGCAGTCAGGGCCCCACACGAGTGAGAGGGTCCACACCAGCGGACGTTTAGGCTCCACCACGGTGCTTCAGGTCGCCGACGGGTGGTCCCAAGCCGCACGTGCATGGCCTCTTCCGCCGGACTTTAAAAAGTCAAGTGTCCGCCTCAAAGCCTTGGGGGAACGTTGGCAGAGCGGCCGAGAGCAGGAGCCCCGAGGTCCAGGAATGCTCGGCGGCTCGGCACCGGCCGGGGGCCGGGACCCGGCACAGGGCTGGCAGGGCAGCGAGAGGCCAGGACGGACGTGCCCACGGGCGGTCCTCGTCTCTGACACCTGTCCCCTTCCTCGGTCTCCAGGGCACAAGAACTTGCTCTGGAACCTGCTGTCCCAACCCTACTTACAGTCCCCAGGACCCCAGACCACAGCAAGATCCGGGTTCTCCAAGCAGGAAGGCCTCCTCACCTCCTGTGGCCGACCCCAGGACGCGGCACCTTTGTTCCTTGTCTCCTACACAGCCATTCACTCTTCGCCGTGTGGGCCTCCTGGCGGGGAGCCCGGGGAGGCCTGTGCGTTCTGGCGTCGGGGCCCCGTGCACAGGACGCGGCCTCTGTCGCTCCCGCTCCCCCCTCGCTCGGCGTCCCCCCAAGTCAGACACATCCTTGTCTTCCTCTCCTGCCCAACATGGGCCGAGGGGACAGGGCGGCCCGCTGGCCAGGCCTCCTCTCCCCTCACGGGAGGCGCAGGGCCCGGCCTTCCAGGGCGAGCCAGCCGGCGCCCACGCCGCGCCCCAGACGCCTGCCTCACCCCGCGTCCTGCCTGCGGCTGGGGTGCCGGCGCCGGGCCAGGCCTCCCCGGGCCGCCCGTGAGCATCCACGCGGCAGAGCCCCCACCACTGACGTAGCAGCTAAATATTGTAAGACTCCTAACTCCCCCATCTGTGTTTTGCCTCCCAAGAGGGAAAATAGTCTTCGCAGACATTCCCGTATCTGCCAGGCAAATTCTAAACCTTACTGGCAACCACACGCTTGTTTTCCCAAGCAAACAGCTCCGGCACCAAAAAAGCGTTCTGCCTGCGATATGCCAGGGAGGGGTCTAGCCAACGCTCGTCCTGGGAGCCCCAGCCCGGAGCCCGTGGGCGGCTGCGGCCCCGAGAGCGAGGGCCCCACCACACCCCCGCGAGGAAGCCGCGTCGGCCTCTCGTTAACACGGGTCCGCCCACCACGCGGCGCGTGGAGAGCAGCCCCACGCTGTGACCGCGGCACTTTCGAACTCAAACAGGAGGGCTGCGGAAGGGAAACACCCAACCGTTTGGCTACAGACAGTTTCCCTGCCAGAGCCCACGCGGCAGCGGCGCCGCGGCGCCCAGGCCCTCCCGGCCGGGCGGACGCCCTCCCTGCCCTTTGCCCTGCCCGTCCCCGCGGGACCCTGCACCCGGGCCACGGCTTGTGAACCGAACCGCAGGGCCCCTGCGGGCGCCTCACTGATAGGGTCCTTTATCGGCTGGCCTTGATGTCTACCGGAGACTCGCAGCGGCCCGGATTTAAATGTTTCATTTTATTGGTAACTTCCCCTTTTCCACACTTCAGCAGTGCCAGGCGAGGAGGTGCGTAAGGTCTCACTATCAGGGAGAACCGTGGTGCAGAATAATTTATGACTCCAGCGTGGGCTCTCAGAAAAGCTATTTCAAATCTCCACTTTGATTTGGTTGTATCAAAACTACTCAAAATAACACCGGCACTTTCTTGGAACCAGAATATGTTAGCGGCACCTCGGGCCCTGGGAACTGAAGCCTCCTATTGATCCCAGCAGAAAACTTGAGAAAAATTAAGAAGGTCGCATTTTTCCAGGATTCCTTTGTTCCCTCCCCAGCACAGGGCACTGCCTGTGGGGCAGAGGTCCTGCCACGCCCTGGCCCAGGGCTCCCGGGAGGGGCGGAGCTGGGAGCTGGGAGGAAGCCCCCGCGGGAGCAGGAGGGAGGGCGCTGTCGGCGTGGAATTTGCGGTGGCTCAGTGTGACAGACCCGCACGCACGGAGGTGCGTCCGGGGCACCGAGCCCTGGCATCGGAAGACTTACCTTAGCAGGTTAACTGCATACTGTCCACAGGGGTGTCGGTCTGGTGAGAGGGGCCCAGAGAGGAAGCAGCTGGTCCAGGCACTGACAGATTGCCAGGCAGGCGCCCCGGGGTCCCTATCGCAAAAGAAAATAGAGAAGGAAACGATGTAAAGCGAAATGTAACAAATTCACGGAATCACAGCAATGCGCAGAGGTCAAGGAAATTCAACGGAAAAGGTTAAAGATGAAATCAAAGCCGGTGTGCGAGAGTGAAAGTCTATCCCCACGCAAGGCCATGGGTGATGCGCCGCAGACAAGAAGCTAAATACCGCCTAGCGCTGGGATCTTTCATTTTCATCAGATCAATAAAAGCTTATATTTATCAGGATTCCAAGCAGCTGCCACTTCTGACAACCTCCACTTTATTTTCTCCCTCCTTGCGCTGTACCGGGGCAAAAAGGAGAGGAGAAGCGGCTTTTAATGCTATTTACACCTGAAGACACAATTCCATTAAGAGGTCCTGTTTTGTTAAGAAGCGGGGATTGATATGATTATATTGGCAGGAGCGGGAAGCCTCTTTGTTCTTCCCACCATGTTCTCGCCTTTGCAACTCGGACCCAGCACGAAGATACCCGGACACTAAGTCCGGGTGTGAGCACTTTCCTTTCTTTGGCTTTTTCCTTTTTTTTGGTTCACACTTACCATTTGCAAAGGGAGAAGAGGCTCCGCGCTGAAACAGTTACCACTCTAATCATCTGTGCAACAATATTTGCTACCAGGCATTCTAAATAGATTATCACCAGTCCATCTGTGTCATTATTGATTTATAAAGCCGTAAGCGGCTTTCGAATGGAAGCGTCCCCACCGAAGGGCTCCTCGTATGCATCGGAGCCCTGCTCAAATATAGCAGCCGCCACTCAGGGTGCCGTTCTTAAGAATCGCCCCCGCCCGGGAAGGAGAAAATGATACATTGCTTATCATACACCGATCCAAACTGATATGCAAATCTTGTTTTTTAAATATATGACTTGAGTAAAAAGAGACGTCATTAACATATGAATGCCGCATGCAAATAGCGGTGACAGCAGATGTTGGCGCATGTAATTGACCTATATGTGAATTGCATCAGAACCCTTAACTCTATTAATTCACTACCCGGTGGCTCGATATCGTCCAGAAAGTACATTCTTGGAAACCATATCCCGGGAGCGAAGCCGACCGGGTCCGGAGGACCCTGAAACAAGGTCACAGTCACGAAGATTTTGCTGTCTCCTGCATTCCCCTGCTTACGGATGACATCATCACGGGGCCGTGTAAATCGATCACTTAATAGCATTTAGAAAATACTGCAGCGGGGAACAGGTTAGGAAAAATGGCCCAGTTTTATTCTTCTTCTTGGCAGAAATGTCATACCTCTTAAACGGAGGGCTCGTGCATGAGTGCACTGGGAAACACACAGATGCCATTTTATTCCCCGTCTTTATTTTTCCACTTCTTCTCAGAATGACATTAAATTGTATTAAATAGCCTTTTGTCCACAGGGCACGGACCACCCCGCATATGATAATGTATTAATGCCCCGCGTTCCAGCCACTGAGCCGCAACATTCGGAGACTTGGAGGATAAGTATGAAGCACCATTGTGTGTATAGCCTGCTAACAACAGTGACACATACTAATAGAAACATACCTAATAAATTACTGCTTTCAGGTCTAGCAAGCTGACATTTCTCTGCAAGGGACAATTTTATATTTGTGGCACAGAACAAAATTGCTTCATATGAAGCCACTGTGGATTAGCATAAAAATTAACACTTAAATTCCAGCTTATTTTCCACCCTCTCCTCCTGCCACAACAATCAATTCCTCTTATAAATCTGATTAGATTTTATGATGCTTATTATTCAGAGCATGTCTCAGCACGGCATTCACAGGCTTGAAGACTATTTGTTTAAATAGAAAAAAGAAGCAGATAAATCTATAGGTATTTTTTATTACCCCATTCCCCACCAGTTTCTTGCTCATATTGTAACATCAGTAATTGATTGCACACATTAATTAACATGTAAGGTAGAAATTCTGCATTATGCATGATTTATTTTCCTATCTGGAGAGGAGGTTCGTCTGCTGCCCTTGTGTTTCTAGGACATGAGGCTCGATCCCGGTCCAGGCATAAATGCCAATGCTCATTCCCCCTGAAAGTTATTAATGTCAGATATGAAATGAGATTTTTGATTTCACCTGCTTACTAATCCACAAAAGCTGTTTTGAGTGATGCAGGCTTAAACGCCGAAATTTGAAATGATATATTGCTATATCTGATAACATGCAAATATGTTCATTAGACGTAATTTAGCAGGAGAGAATAGCAACTCTTATAACAAGTCCAGGTCAAAAACGGTTGTTAATTAAACAGGTCGTGAAAAATGGCGTCCGGAGGGGACTGTCCGGCAGGCGCCGGGCCTCCGAGCGGCACGTGCGGCCGGCCGGGGCCGGCGCCTTCCGGACGGCGGAGGGGAGGCTGGCCCCCTGAGCGCGCCGCGCCTCCTAAAGCGAGGCTCGCGCAATGTCCTGCCCCCGCAGCGGGAGCCTCGGACTGGCCGCGCGCTCTTCGATTTTAACGGGAACGCACACGACTTCTCCATTTGGACATGACATTTCCCTTTCTGTCTTGGTGGCTTCGAGTGATTTATATGGTGGACTCCTTCACAGATAAACCAGAAGAGAAATTAATACCACGGCCGCCACCCTGCGGGCTGCCCTGCGCGTTCACGGCGGCGTCTGTTCGGTCACGTGAGGCGGCAACCACAGGGCGCCTGGGCGCGAGGGCGGACGCGGGGCCGGAGGGGAGCGCGCCTGGCGTCTCCCCGGCCCGTGGCCCTGCTCAAGCGCGCGCTCCGGTCCCCTCCCGGACGGGGGCGCAGCGAGAACTGTTGGGATTGGCCGTGAGCTGACATGCCCTGTGGGCGGCGCCCTGGCGCGCAGGTAGGCAGGCCGCCCGAGTGGGGTTCCCTGCGGGGAGGTGACCCAGAGCACACAGGAGGGCGGGAGGAGCGTCCGGTGGCCTCCAGGCCGCCTCCACGGAGCGGCCAAGGCCGGACGTCGGAGCCGGCAGCTGCGGGAGGGAGACCACGTGACCAGGCTCTGCCGTGGGACGGGCCGTGCAGCCAGGCCCTCACACGCAGCCTTGCAGCCCGACGGGCACAGAGGTGCGCGCGGGGTCCGCCCAAGCGGGAAGGCGAGCGCCAGGCCAGCCGCCGTCTGAACAAACCTCAGGAGGGCCGGGCGGTAGCCCTCCAGCCTCGTCCCTGACCCCGGCGCAGCGCTCGACGCAAGGGAGCTTCTAGTCCACGCGCGGGGGGTGGAGCAGGCCTTCCCCAGCGCCCGCGTCTGAGCGGCAGGTGCCGCGCCTCGCCCGGGACAGGGTGGCCTGGCTTCTGTGTCGCACGCACAGAGCCTCGGCGCTGAGGCCCGCCCCACGGCGCGGCCCGCCCGTCTCTCACGTGATCGGCGACCGCGATCATACACAGAAAATGGGGGCGCTCTTCAGCGGGGGAAGGGAAGGGAGCGCCAGTTCTGAGTGACCCTTGGCGGTTTTTTATCCTCCTCACGCCGGTCCCTGCATCTCCTGCCCACACCGCGGCTGCCCCTCCCGCGTCAGGGTGACACACGGTCCCCGCTTCCCACCCTGTCACCTGCAGCCCGGGCCCCTGCCCTTGATGTCTGCTGCTTCCCGTGGGAGCAACCCAAGAACGAATCGGGACCTCGAGACTCCCTGAGGAGGCCTGGGGCCCCACGCGTGCTCAGGCAATGGGGAGCACCAGGCCCACGGCGACGCTGGGGTCCCCCCGTCACAGCAGGCGGATCTGGCCTGAGCTGTCACAGGCCGATACCCGTCCCTCAGGGACCCTGGCCCTGTCTGTCCACTGTCATGTGTCCCCACCGGCGACGACGCGGGAGCCGACCAGGGTTGCGGTCAAGCTCCTTCGCCTTTCTCCTGAGGCTTTAATGAATGTCAGAGTGTTTTGTTGTGAACGAGTGAAATAAACAAACCAGCAGGCGCACAGTGAACGCAGAGATGAGTAACTGGGCGCACGAAGGCAGGCGCGAACGGGTGGGTGAAGGGAGAGTGCGGGTTGAACCAGTTAAAAAGGCAACGCGTCCACGGACGAACGGGCAGCTGCAGAGCTCCCGGGTGAACGAACCAGCGCCTGGGCACGCGTGGCAGGACACCGCCGGCCCTTCTCAGGGGCGAGGGCACACCGGTCTACAGCGTGCCCACCTGCGGGCTGGCGGCAGGGACACCAGAAGAAACGGCGAGTAAGGTCTCGGTTGTTCTCCAACGTCCGGTCGCCCGCGCTCGGCTTCCTTCCACGTCTCAGAGGACACGGACCCCCAGGGATCCCTGCGGTGCGGCCGGCAGGGTTCTGCCCAAACACTCGCCGCCGCAGGAGCAGGTGGACGGGCGCTGCCGCCTCCGGCCGGAGCCTCCGACAGGACGGGAGGACCCCGACACCCGGCTCTGCCGCGGCCCCGCGCCCGCTGGACGCCGGCAGACCCGCCCTGGGAGGCGGGGGTCCCCGCCGGTGGTGGCACGGGTCCGAGGCCAGAGCCCAGGAGGCTCCGGCGCTGACACTGCAAAGTTCCATCCTCACCAGGAGGCCCACCGTCTCTTCTCTTTCAGAACAGAGGTCCCGTGTCTCACGGCGCTGAGCTCGGGGGCTGGGGCCCAGTCCCCAGTCAACCGGCAGCCGCGACTAGCAGCCACCGCCGCCCGATACCTCTGGCTCCAGGTCCTCTGCCCGTGGACAGCTTCCTCCCAGGTGGACGTCCATCTCTACCGAGTGGACATCCCGCTCTACCGGGTGCGTGGCGGCCAGGCTGCCTGAGAGCGGGGACTGGGCACAGGGACCCTCACAACCCCCTGCAAGCGTGGGTTTTATTTCCTCTGCCAGGCTCCACCGCCAACCCGTCCCCAGAGAGGCATCTTCTGTTTACAAAGACCGTCCAGACTGGACCTTCGGGGTTCCTTTTCTCTGGAATTTGGTTTCCCGGCTCCAGAACCAGGAACGGAATGGAGATCCACGGGTTTGCAGCGTTTTCCAGCAGCCCCTCCCGAAGGGCGAGGGCCCTGTT